ACAAGGCCATAATGTCGTCAAGTCGGAACGGAAACCACGCAAAACGATTCAATACAAGGACCTTGGTTAGTAGCAGAGAAGATCCTGACCCAAATACAGTGCAACAGGCTGACAGTTCTGGCCATAGCTACGGCGGTGTCGCGCATCGATAACCTCGAATTCCTCTCCGACGTGATCCCCAAGACAACAACGTACAAGCAATTCAAGGAGAAGCGGGCCAAGGAAGCGAGCAGAGAAGCCGGATACGAAAAGGGACAGCGCACCTTGAACGGCAGTATACCTCCGGCGCCAGAAGGAAAGCCCGAGGTAGACAATAACGAAGAGACTCAACCGGGCTCAGATGACAAACTATCAAGGGGTTCTCGACCACCAACGGTGACAATGATGGTGGATCGAACGGTAGAGGCCTCGACAGAGGATGAAGATGTAGAGATGGCCGACCAGTGACTGTGGCACATGATCACAATCTGATGGAGCATTGCATGGCATTGGGGAGTTCTTTGGGGGTCCGCTTGGTCGCAAAATTGGTTGATTATTGTTCTCTTTTCTTTTTTTTTCTTATCTCTTCATTATTGGTCCAAAGCAATCGGACCTCTTCATTTGGTCTCTGGTCAACCGCATTGGGAATCTGGATAATAGCATTGGACGGGGCGGGATCGGGACGGAGAGGGTGACAACTAATAGCATTGCACCAGAGTCCAGCGCAGTGCAATAGCTGGGTCAAGCATTGTATATACTCATTATATTGAATAAATGGTGTATATGGAGGATTGTCTAACAACGACTGTAATGATACCTACTTCTCATCATGCAGTACATAGATACCAATGATAGGTAGATTGGACGATAATCAAATGGCCATACGTCAGGTGAGATTCTGACTAAGACGGGTGCTGCGGGCCAATGAAATGCGCCGTGATTCCGATCGCTTGCCGTAGCGAAAGCTCTGGTTCGACTTTCCGTATGAGTGCCGGGCCTCCGACTTCAACCTCCAACCTCAAGGAAAATCAAATCCTCCTCCGATCTCCTCCCCGGATATCTCTCTTTCCTCCCCCCCCCTCCTCCACTCCCCACCCACCACTTCCTTAGCGGTCCCCTTCCTTATCCTCGCAATTGACTGTGCAATTGCCTCCATTCGCCATGTCTCTCGCCTCCGCTTCCAACTCCGTCCTGCGCGCCTGCGCTCGGCAACAACTCACCACTCCTCGCGCCGCCATCGCCTCCTACCAGCAGCGGAGGGGAGTCTCCAATGCCAGATCCAGCTTCGCCAGCCCCTTCACCCCCGCCGCGGACTATGACCAGACCGTGAAGATCCCCGACTTCAGCAAATACTCCTCCAAGAAGGGCCCCCGCTCCAACCAGGTCTTCTCCTACTTTATGGCTGGTTCCCTCGGTCTGGCCTCTGCCGTCGGTGCTAAGGCTACCGTTCAGGGTGGGTGACTCCGACTCTTCTCAATGTTTCGCATATGAGCTTGGACTTGTGTGGGAGGACGGTGCACAACAACTGGAGGGAATCAACGACTTCGATGGATGGGATTCATGGGCTGGCTTGCCTTGCCGCTCCGATCATTATCGCTGACGTGGGATCATATCAATAGACTTCCTGGTCAACATGTCCGCCTCTGCCGACGTCCTCGCCCAGGCTAAGGTTGAGATCGGTCTCGCCGCTATCCCTGAGGGCAAGAACGTATGTCTCCACTCCCCTACTACCCGGCCGGGTTCGCCCTCGTGCGACTGTGATATCTGACCGCTGTTCCCCCGCATACAGGTTATTATCAAGTGGCGTGGAAAGCCCGTCTTCATCCGTCACCGTACCCAGGATGAGATTGAGGAGGCCCAGAAGACTGAGTGGCAGTCTCTCCGTGACCCCCAGGCTGATGAGGACCGTGTCCAGAAGGCTGAGTGGCTTGTCATGCTTGGTATGTGCATCCCGTCGCCGACGACCACCTCAACTCGATCCCTAACCCTCTCCTCTTGCGTCTAGGTGTCTGCACCCACTTGGGCTGTGTCCCCATCGGTGAATCCGGTGACTTTGGCGGCTGGTTCTGCCCCTGCCACGGTTCCCACTACGACATCTCCGGCCGTATAAGAAAGGGTCCCGCTCCCCTCAACCTCGAGGTTCCCCAGTACAACTTCCCCTCCGAGGACACCCTCGTCATCGGTTAAACGGGACCCCGACCAAAAATCGAAACTTCATGTGCAATTAAGGGGTGAAGTGCGCTTTCCGCCAGCATAGAAAGAGCAGGCTAGCCAAGCAAACCCTTTTTTTTAGAGCGCCAGGGAAGGAATGACGGAGAAGGTTTGTGTGTATGTACGCGTGTGTTGTGTCTGTATGTGCCTGTGCTTTAGATGAAATCCTCTTTTTCTTATCTCTTTTTTTGTTCTCTCCGTCTTTTGTCAAGATATAAAGAGACCTTGTTTTAATATGGGATCCCGATAAAAACCGAGCCTCTTGATTCGTTTGTCATCCTCATCGTTTCCAAGACATCACCATCACAATTTGCCACTCACTTGCCTTGATTCTCTGGGTCCTTAGTCCTCTGGATATCAGGTTTGGGCATCCTCGGAGCTTTGAACGGCCACTCCTTGATACATGTGTAATCTTCTTTGCTGAACCTGCCATTCAATAGACAAACAAGAACATAACCACCGTTACAGGCTTTACTAAACCAACCTTCCCTCCCCCTCCCCACACCCGCTATATCAAAGTCGTTTGTTGATACGGGAAAAAAATAATCATCGCTTTATTTATGTCTTGGGAGGTCTTTATACAAATACATACAGGAGGACGTTCCTTTCCCGCCAACCACAAAAAGTCAATGCTTATTACATGAACATACACAAGAACGTCCATTTCAGCACGGTGCAACGGTACTTCTCACTGTGGACGAATGAAGAACGCTAGCAGCCCGATGACAGCTGCACCAGCGGCAGCGCTCTGGATGGCAAGGACAGAGTGATCCCGCTGGGTCATGGTGATCTGGCGATCACTGAAAAGGTCTCGGAGATAGCGGCGCGAGGATTCGATGAGGGTTGCGTAGGGAGGGATGCGGGAGTAGTGGGTTTTGCAGGTCTGGAGGACATTTTGTAGTTTGTTGTTGTTGGTGTTGTTGTTTGAGACGGGAGGTGCGGCCTGGGTTTCGGTCTCGGGCAGTACCGGAGCGGACGCCGGGAGGGCTGGGTTGGTCTCTTGCTCGTTCGGGATAGCTTCGCTGGCGGCGATGGCGGTGGTGGCCTCCTCTGTTGAGGCACCTGCTGAGGTTGCTACGGGGTCAGCAGCAGCAGCAGCAACAGGCTCGGATTCCGCCCTGCTGGCCGAGGCGGATGCCATCTGCTGAGAGAATTCGGTCTGCAGGTTCAGGATCTGCGCCTGGTTCAGGGTCTTTTCCTTCTCGATGGCCTCGATGACCTTCTCCTCGAAGCCCTTGACCAGCCGCTTGCGGCGCCAGGGTTCCACGGCGATCTGGAAGATCAGGAACAGGAGCACGTTGACCCCCATCAGGCCCCAGGTGCCCCAGGTGCTCATGCGGCGGATCTTGTCCGACCAGACCTGCTCCTCGTGGTAGCGCGACAAGATGCTCTTGTTCAGCTGGGCGGCGGCCTCCTCGGCCTCGTGCTCCGCCGCGGTCAGGGCCTGCTGCGCTTCGTTCTCGGCCACTTCGTTGGTGTGGTCGTTGCGGTACAGGTGGGTGAACCGCTCCAGGTCGGCGGCCGACCAGGCGTGCTTGCGCTGCAGGAGCTCGTTGACCTCGCGCTGCGAGGTCGATCGGTTATTGATGGCGGCGGCGTAGGCGTCCTTGGCGGTGCGGACTTGCAGGCGGGCGGCTCGAAGTCGTTCCTCTGTTTGTCAAACGAAAAGTGAGGTTAGAAATCTTGGACTGGTGGTGGGGTCTTATGTCCGGAAGACTGTAGCTTTTTCTCGTACCTTGGAATTGGATGTCCTTCTTCAATGCCTCAATCGCGGAGTAGCCCGTCAGGTCGTTCAGTCGCTGCCCGGCCACGAAGATGTTCGATTGGAGGTTGTCCATCACGACGCTGAACTGTTTGGCGAATTGCGACCGTCGGTTCTCCAGGTAGGATGGGAGACCCCCGAGCTGCGACCCAGATCCCGCGGCGTCTGCACCAGCATGGTCTTCCTGTTTCTTTCCCTCTCGCTCCGCTGCTTCGGGCCCAGCGGTGGTTGACGTCTGTTCTTCTGGAGGAGCAGCAGCGGCGGCGGCGGCGGGACTGTCTCTCCCCGCATCCGACTCAACATGTGGGTTCTGTTCAGGGATAGCTGATGGCGGCGGCGGCGGTGACGGTGCCGGGGTGTCTTTGGTGGGAGGGGCTCCCAGGATAATCACGTCTTGCTTCTTCTCCGATTCATTCGATGAGTACACCGAGGTTTGCGTCCGGAATTGGCGTTGCAGGCAGGTCGAGAAGCTCCGGGGTGTTGTTGTCTCTCGGCCAGGACAAAGAGCCTGCGGGACGAGACCGGCGGGCAGTAGTCGTAGCAGCGGTCTTCGCACCGGGCGGGAGGAGGTGGTAGTAGTAGTAGTGCGGCTAAGACCCTGGAAGCTGGACCGGATTGACTGCCTGAGCAGCAATGGCATGGACTGCATGACCGCTGCTGCTGCTAGGGCTAACAACAGGGGGTCAATGCAGATGCTGTATCTTCGTCGTTGTCGTTGTCGGTTTGCTTGGAGGTCGGACGAGTCACTCGGCTCAGATTCATTCCTCAGGCTTGTTTGTCCGGCCGGCGGCCGGGAAAGAAGGCGGTCATGCGGAAACGCCGCGCTTCTGCGGGCTTCTGGTGGACACTCCCCTCTCTACTAACTTACTTACTAGTACGCGGACGGATTATGCGGTGAGAGGGACTTTTGGGGAGGAGTTTGGATTTCTTGGTAGAACAATGGTGGTCTATGACCCTATAGCTACTTTGAAAGCTAATGCTAATATTATTCTCCTGGTTTATCTTCACAACAAAACATTAAAGAGCCAGATCAGCGAGCGGCCCCCGAGACGGGCCCGAAAGTTAGTGACCGCGCTGATCAAAGACAGTTAAGCAAATACATATAGCACATTGTCATTATCCATTACCATTCGTTGTAAGCAGGTGATCGTAGCTTGTGATTCGTAAGGCCTGGTGGGAGGAAAAAACCAACAGTATGTAGGACTGTGGAGACAATCCTTTTACTGGCCTTTCCCTAGCAGCAGCAGTATTTCGAGACAACAGACAGCAAGTTGCGAGGCAACTGCGTTTGTCCTGGTCTCATTCAGGCTTGGGCTGTTTGATGGTCTTGTACTTTGTGGTCTCCCTTCACTGCTTCGGCGTATGTGGGAGGTGGCCGCGCATCGGCGTGATCCCGGCTGCTGCTACCGCCGCCGCCGTCGCCTCCAGAAGCATGTTCGTGCTGTTGGTGAGGTGCAGGATGTTGCTGGTGAGGCTGAGCGTTCGCCGCGTAGGGTTGTTGCGGAGGCAGGGTCCCATAGCCCCGTTGGGATGGGTGCTGGATGGGTTGATGGGAGACATAGTAATATGTGACGCGACCGTTCTCGACGTCGCCCCTGTGATTCTCGGGGAGGGGCGCATAGCTGGGGTCATCATAGTCTGGCTCGGGATACTTGAGAATGATATACCAGGCGTGCAGGAGGCCCGGGATATAGGCGAGACAGCAGAGAGCAAGGTTGATGACCGAGTCAGCCGTACAGAGGCCTACTTTGATCCACACTGGACGCACGGTGTTAGTTCTTGATCTGCGGTTAGCACGGAGTCATGACAAGGTCTCTGGCTCACCCGCAATCGGAGGGAAGAAAATGGCGAGGATCGCTAGAAAGATGTCTGAACCACACATGTTCGCAGGTTGGTCGCAATGGTAGAGTCACTGGTAATGGGACGAATGCCTGATCATGCAAGTAGGATAGTATAGGACTGTATAGTAGCTAGAGAGGATCAACCTCAGACATGCGTTTGTTGTTCTGGTGGATCACAGTCAAGGTGTATTGAAAATCAGTGGTGGAGTGATGGCAGGACGGATGGATGCCTGCTGCAGGCTCGCGATCAGATGACGTCGTCCATGCCACTCTATCACCTGACATAGCGGGCAGTTCTCGATGCTGTTGTTTTTTAACAGTCAGCCTCAGCCTTCCACAACAGCATGAACAACATGAACAACATCCACTAATCTCCATCGTCTTGTACTCTACCACTAAAAATCTGATTCGCTCGACAGTGAGAGCATGGGACATATCCATCCATTTGTGATGCTACAACTCTCTTGTCAACTGGTGCTAACTATACTCATAGTCAAGAGTCGCTGGCTATAACCTATCCAGTCATGAGACATACTTCCTCATGTCGCACAATATAGATACACCGCTGGGTATATGATATGGACGATATTTAGTGTTGTATAAAATAGATCTTTTCTTCGTCTGACTCGCGGGCGCGGAAAGCAATTTCGGACCTACGGCGGCGAGGTATATATAACCAGCTTTTGCGCATGAGAATGGACCCGTGCCTCTCGAAGATTGGGAGTAAATACAGTATGATCAACAGGCAACCTATCTCAGGAAGTCAGTGACGCTACAACCCAGATAATCAGTTCTTTCCCTTCCGATATCACTGCCCAAAGCAGGGCGTCACCATCGTCTTAAGGTAGATTTCGGGGCCGAGCTCTGTTGCAGTGGCGGAGACCCAAGGACCCGCCTCGAGAAATCTAGAGTTCACAACATCTACACATATGATAACATGTCGGGAGAATCACCCGACATCAATCCTTATAAGTCCGGGGATTGTCTTTTCCACTGCTGGGTCTTGATCTGAATACGAGGCTCGGGTATATCTGCGGAATAAATGGAGGAATCTGTGAGGCATCTCATGGCGGTCTGAATCTGCTCGCACCCATCCAACTGTCATCTGGAACCAAGCATAGTACTGCACGATCCGAAAACCACGGCTTACAGCCACCTTTATTCCAGACCGAGACAATATCCAATTGACAATGAATAGTCAGGCGACACCAAGCTCCTTACATCCTTTGGGTCTACTTTACTATGGTGTAGTTTATCAGAGACCGCTATACAAGACGCAAGGGTGGTAAGGTTAGGTGCTCGCAGAAACTCGAATAGTGTTGACATGGTAGGTGGTCTCCGGCTGGAACGGCTCTACTGCCAGCAATTGGCCGGGAGTTGAAGGCTGGACTGCATAGCCAAAAGTTAACCTAGCCAGAGAGGCTACCTTACGTGGTGAAATTGAGGAAGCAGATCGTGGACAAATCTCTGTCGATGTCATGACTTGGATTGTGAGCTATCGCAAATGGCGATCGGCCCAACAGCGGCAGTGTCAAGCAACCTAGCATTCCTAGTGGCTGACGTACAATTAGCAATCGAACCTGAAACAGCCTAATGAGCTCCGAGAATCACTTGAATAGATGTGTATCATCAAGTCTTCATCAGTTGAACTGAAGACATCATCAATGGGCGATCATAGCCAGGTCAAATGGTGAACAAGTAACTTAATATACCTCCCCGTAATTAACAGATCAATATGGAGGCTTCCATATCCGACCCGCCGAGTCCCGACCCCCGGGCCCAAAAGGGAGCCTTCCATCTTAGGGCTAGAATGATAATTACCTATCTAGCGTACCACAGGTTGGAGTTCTGGTTCAGGCTTCGTTCCCGTGTTTGCAGTCCCGACTCCCTACTGAATTGTGCTGTTGTAGGTACGGATACTTCGTAACACCTTAGTCAATAAATGCCTGGCTACCAGGGTGTGGAACGCCATACGGACCTTTTTTTGCATGCTGGCTCAACCCAGGGTTGTAGACAGGAACAATTCATCAGCAAGGTGGATCATCATCAGATTGACTGTAAATGCCCATCTCAGTTCATGCTTCTGGCACTAACAGCCTCACAAGGTCGAGGTGTGCCACGTCAGTTGGGAACAATACCTTCCAGTGACTTGCCATGCATCACAGAACCTTCCTAACCATCCGGATGATAAAGTTTGCGGTTCCTGCATCTGTCTTCTCTCCTCTCTTCTTTCTCAATTTTCTGCTCGCATCTTGACATTTAGGCTTTTGTTGAGCGTCTGAAACGAGCTGTATACAATCACTTAAATTCCGGTGGTGTCTCAAACCCCGCGACGACGAATTGTGCGGACTGAGTGCGCACTCAGAATTATAGGATACGCCGAGGATCGTTGCAGTCAAGACCCAAACGTATGTGTTCTGCGATTGTTCTTTGTCTGGACTCTGGAGCCGGTGATGGGTTCGATCTACCTCGAAGCTCACTTCCGGATAGCCTGTGGAGCTCGAAGCTGGGGGGGCCTCTCGATCTAATTCTGATTCGATAGGAACCTGCTCCCTGCCAGCCCGACTTAACTCGATCGGTAACAGAAACTATTTTGTTCCTGGATGTGGAGGAACTGAATTTGAGCGCTTGTGCTGTGGATGCAGGTTGAATTGAGAAGACGCCGGCCGCTTTCGCGAACCGCCCGCGCCAGAACCCCCTTATTAACTTCAGTAGTCTATTGACTCTTGTCAGTCCCCCAACTCCCAATAGGTTGGTGATTGCACATCCTGAATTCTTCAAACCCTGCGCGCTCCCCATCGTTCGGATCTCAATTACTGTTGCCCTTTTTTCGATCGCATAAGTTATCGATGGAAGGTCTCTACTAGCTATTTTTAAGTGTGACGAGCGACTTTGTTTTCCTCCAGCGGCAGTCGAGTGAGGATGCCGGGAGGGGAAAGCACGGCCACCGACTCCAAACTAGCCTGGAGGTTCAAATCAGCTCTGACTCGTGCTTGCCTTCTTACTTCACATCCACTCTTTGTCTTCAAGTTACCCTTTTCTCATCAATTCAGTTGTCTACTGAATTTCTAGCCCTCTTCTCTCTGGACGACCTCAATTGACCCGTTAGCCTTCAGATTCTAGTCGCTCGTTTGACCGCCGGCTTTTGAGGCAGATTGGGTCTAGCCCATTTGCCGTCGTGCTATCATTTTCGCTTCCCCAGCTCTCCGCAAATCCCCGTGTTTCTTTAGTCGAGACTTCACTTCCTGCAAGCGTCCTAGTTGGAAGTCCGTGTGCGCGTCGAAATTCATCATCGAATCGAACAATCCCAGCCAGGTCCAGCTCTGACGGCGTGCAACAGGAAGCGACGAGAAAACCATGGGGCGCGATTGCTGATATACTGCCTCCCAAAGACAAAACCGCAAACTGGATTTGAGTCTGTCATACGCTCTCTAAACACCACACCAGCCCTGTATACACACCTACGGGAAAGCGCGGTTGAGTGCTGCAACGATGTCTAGCACATGCATCTCACTCTCGGGTTCGACCCAATGCCCTGCGTTCAATACCTCCTCTATATCAACCAACTCAAGTCTCTATACGGATTTGTACGTATGCCCAGCTGTTATGTGAAGTACAGTGACATGCTAAGCGCTCCCTAGTCCATTCATGCAATATGTCTCCAACTTAACGCAGTTCGACCAGGAGCTGAATACCTATGTCATGCAGTCTTTTGTGAAGTCAAAGTGAGCCTGCCCAGCCCTCTATGCTACCAACTCAAAATTCTCACGAGTCCCTCTCTCGGCAGATACGTGGATTATCTAGGATGCGAAGGTGCCAACCTCACTGACACTAGCGACTTTTATGCCCGCTACACCACAAGTGTGATCTGCAGTAGCTTGGTCCAAAGCTCAAAAGACGACTGCAATCTCTCTGTTCAGGATTCGAGACCGCTTTGCGCTGACGCCTGCGTTAGACTCTCATTTGACCAGGACATGTTGTTTGCATACTAACATAGAATAGGCTCAGATGGCTGAAAGCGAAGAGGCCATAATCACCGACTCCGACCTTTGTCCTGAAAGGGCTGACGACTACATGGCCCAGATTCGGTCCGACTTCACCATTTGCGCTCTTCCTGCTGACTCAATCACTGTGAGCTGCGTCGCCGGAGCTGACAATGAGCCGGAAAACTGTGGATTTCGGTCCAATCTTTTTGGGCTGTGTGCGCATTGCAAAACGAGCTCGACCAACACCACCGACTCCTGCTGCGAAAGCGCAGGAGCAGCTACCCGATGCTCGAATGTAACCGTTCCCTCTTCAACGATAACACCGATTTTTACGTCGACGTCAACATCAAATTCAACAGCTGGTGCTTCGGATGGCTTATCTGGTGGAGAGATTGCAGGTATTGTGATAGGATCCGTGGCGGGGCTTGCTTTACTGGCTGCCCTCGCCCTACTCGCTTTCATCTGCTTGCGCCGCAAGCGCAAAGCGCGTGATGAAAGTGGCCTCAACCAGCCGAACCCACAACGGAAGGGGTCTCCATCAATGCAACAGGCCCAGGTAAACAATGGCTATGCTGCCATTCCTGGAGGACGAGTCGCTCGAATGTCTGCTTTGCGCGAGGTGCCCAATTTATCACCGGCACGATCCCGTCTTTCGGCCGCCTTATTCGGGGGCGGAAAGTACAGCGACTCTTCCGACTCAGAGTATGGTGCAAGCCCGGGTGCTATGTCCAAGAAAATACCCCCAACAACTGGCAAGCGTCACGGCTCGCTATCTAGCAACTCAGCCTTGGCTGGTATGGGCACTGATAGCTCACCGCGCTCAATGGGAGCCGGTCACTACTCGTCACCTGAAGGCGTGACAAGCGGACAGTCGGAGCAATTGTCTTCTTTCCAGGACTATTATTCGCCGGATGAGATACATCCCGGTGATAAGGTGGCCGTACTATGGGCATATCAACCTCGAGCAGGAGATGAATTCGCACTGGACCGAGGCGAGATGCTGAAGGTGATCGGTATATGGGATGACGGATGGGCTACCGGCGTTCGCATTCCCGAGAGCGTCGATGACCATGACGCTAGACACCATGAGCAGCGCGATAGCGGTGTCTCGAATGGCTCACAACGGCCGGCCCCTTCTCCGCCTCCGCTAGGAGAGATCAAGGCATTTCCACTCGTCTGCGTATGCCTTCCGCAACATTGGCGCAAAATCATCGACGGCGGCCACGCGGAAGAGGATTGATGAGACTTCAAAGCTATTATCCTGGTCCAGGTGCGCAGCCTTATAGGCCTGTGTTACTTCTAGCTTGGTCTTCCGTGCGCGCTTGATTTGAGATTGCTGTTTACAGAGCGTTTTCTGCAATTAGCCCGGCTTTCCCAAACCGAGAGCCACGGACTTGACAGCTACTTTCAAACATGGCTTATCGCTTCAAATCTCGGGCATTCTTCATGATGATTCGATCCGCAGTCTTATTCTTCCCAGGCCTTGCTGGATCGCACTGTCAAGTTGACGACGTTTCATGAGACGATCTGATTTTTATGCCCTTTTAAATACTTTCTTTTCGATCTTCATATTCTTATATACCCAGTTGTCAAGCGTGTGGTGCAGTTCTTGTATCTAGGCACGATTTGCATATTTCTACTTCAGCGTCTCGAGCGTGGACAATAATGTCCTTACGCACTCCCATCTTACGCATCATGCGACGCCGCTCAGCATCGTTTTATCTAGTTCTTCACAGAAATAAAATTATGATGTAAGCATATACACTCTGGCAAATGGGTCAATATCCGTGTTATCATCGTTTACACTCGCATCGTGTCTTCGAGCGACGGCTGTGAGGCGATACTAGGTACATAGCTATCGAATTTGCAGCCTTACCAAGACCGGACTGACGTGATATCACTGGGCTAGCCGGGGCTAGTTCCATGGTTAGCCACCCATCAACGGCGGTTTACTCCGGCGCGAAAACAAAATTCATTTTGGCTGCAGCTCCGAGAATAGAACGAGGGACTGACTGTCACTGCGGTCAATAGATTGTGATTAGGCTACTCAAGCGACATGGCTTTGTGTGAGCTCTCCATACAAGTTAGATGGGGTAGGTATTGGATTTGTGGTAACTAAATGAGGAACTGGTCTGCCAAAGCTGCAGGCACAAGGCTGCAGACAAGGCGCATTATGCGGGATGTTGCTGGTGGTGGTGGTGATGGTGATGCCTGCCCATGCTATAATAATACAGCACTGCTAGTCACCGGTGGGCATTCAACCTCCCCTTTCCCCTAGGCTGTAACCTAACTGGGTAGAGTCTTAGACTAACTTAGAACTCACTGCCACTCCGTCATCGCCCAGCAAATTCAGGGGGAAGAGTGGAAAGAGAAAATGGCGGCTGGTGGTGCGATGGGACGAATCACGTGGCAGGACCCCCACTGCCCGCCCGCCGCCGCTGGAGCGCAAAGCACAACAAGTAAATGCCCCTCTATCTCCATCTCGGCTCTCATTCCCCTCTCTTCCCCCCCCCATTATTACCACTATTCTTCCCTTCTCAAATCCCCCTCACCCTCACCCTCTCTCTTCCAATTTCTTCCGCCTTTCTCGAATATTACCTTAGTAGGTTGTTTCAGTGTTCGGTAAGTCGCCCTTTCAGTTCCTCCTCAGCTCGGGGCCTTCTTACTGCAGTCACCGACCGTGCTGTGACGACAGAGGACAAATAGGGGAATCTGGCCGACTGACATCGCGTGCCTGCGCAGGTTATCCACTAGCCCACTTCCCCCATCTCAACTCTAGAACTATAATCTATCATGTCGGTAAGTACATTCTTCTCTTGGTTGGCTATAATTCGAACTAAGCTGATCCCTTCACTATCTTCTAGCTCGCATCTGGGTATGTTGATACTTGGCTCCGTCGGGAGTGGTGGGGAGCTCGGTGTCTCCGGGACCACGCTGACATCGCCGTGCCCAAACAGTGTTTCCATCGCGGATGAGTGCATCACTGCATTCAACGACTTCCGCATGAGCGGAGGCTCCAAGACAGACAAGACCAAGTTCATCATCTTCAAGATCGCCGACAACAAGAAGGAAGTCGTCATCGACGAGTCCTCCAAGGACGAGGACTACGAGGTCTTCCGCAGCAAGCTCGAGGCTGCTAAGGACAGCAAGGGTAACCCCGCTCCCCGCTACGCCGTCTATGATGTGGAATACGAGCTCGGCGGTGGTGAGGGCAAGAGGTACGATGATCGCCTGCGCTCCTTGCGGGTCCGCCGAAGCATAGGTTTCCTAACTTTCTTTTCCCTCGATACAGAAGCAAGATCATCTTCATCTCTTGGGTCCCCAGCGACGCTCCCACTCTCGTATGTTTCCAATCGTAATCTGTTTCTGGTGGCCGACGGACTTTCGAATACTGACGCTGGTTCCCTAGTGGTCCATGATTTACGCCAGCACCCGCGAAAACTTGAAGAACGCCCTCAACATCCACAACTCCATCCACGCTGACGACAAGTCCGACATTGAGTGGAAGACCGTCCTGGCCGAGGCCAGCGGTGGCAAGGCTGGTAAATAAATGACGGTGCCGGCTGGGTCCGGACCAGGGTAACTATGCTGGTTGTTACATCGCAACGCATCATCTCGAATCGCGGCGGAACCAGGAACGAAACAGTTCTCTCCGAGTCTCCTGGCACACTCTTAGTTCAATATGAGATTGTTACGACCTGACTCTGCTTTGTTCTCTTTTCCTATACATAGTTACCGTATAATCTTGAGCGATTCTGGCAATTTGTGGGGTTGACACCGACTGGGCAGGGATTATTCGTGCTTGTTTGTTCAGCGTTCGCGTGTACAGAATAGGTTACTGTTGGCCACCATGGAGAAGGACTGGCGCGGTGGGTGTAAAGTCAGCACTCGGAATTACATCCGGGTCATCAAAAGTCGGAGATCGTGCTCTCTCCCTTCTCTTGCGATGGCGTTGTAAAGTGACTGACGTAGCTGACGGCTCTCTTGAGCGTGCGGAATAAATAGAATTCCGAGTTCCCTTCAATTCTGACAGTCCGGGATACAAGAGTATCGTTACTAGTCATAGTATCCAGTAGAATAAACCTGCACTAGAGCGCCAAGCCAAGAAAACAATCATGATCACGGGTGAAACCCCTTATCAATATCATGGACATCGCCTGATGTTCTTAGTTCTTGGGGGACAAGAGGGATTCAGTCAGACGGGCAAAGGCGGACGGGCGGTCGGGACGGGTTTTGGTCACAGGCCAATGAGAGTGGTGGTAAAATGGACTAAGCTAGCCTGTCCGGATACTCGACTTTCCACCTCAAACCACAGATCATCGAACGTCTTCGTCCCCCCCCCATCGCGACTCTTTCGTCACCCCTCCACTCCACCATCCCCAACGTCCACCATCCTCCTTTATCGAGGAATCGCTCCTCTTACTCCTGGAGAGTTGATTTCTACCGTTGATTGATCGCCAGACGCCCCGTCATCCATCGCACACAATGTTCGCTCAGTCCATCTCTCGGGCCGCTGCTCGCAGCTCGGCCATGCCCACCGCTGCCATTCGCTCCTACCGCACGGCCTCGAGCCCAATGGCTTGCCTGAACGCTCGTCCCCAGGCTGAGAAGCAGACCATTGCTTCCCAGCAGACCCGCGCCGCTTCCGAGCATGCCATCTCGAATCCCACACTCGCCGGTATCGAGAAGCGCTGGGAGGCCATGCCCCCCCAGGAGCAGGCCGACCTGTGGATGCAGCTCAGAGACCGCATGCAGGCTGACTGGCACCAGTTGACCCTCCAGGAGAAGAAGGCTGGTATGTTCTCTCAGTCCGCCTGAGATGGCATTTTTCTGGTTGCTGGCTGGCGCAGACAGAATTTTGCTGACGGGTTCTGTTCTTCCCCACAATATAGCCTACTTCATCTCTTTCGGTAACCACGGTCCCCGCACTCTGCCCCCCAAGGGTGAGGCCTTCAGAATCTTCGTCAAGGTCCTCCAGTACTGCTCCATTGGCGTCGGTCTCTTCTACGCCGTCCACTACTTCGCCAAGCCCCTCCCCAAGACCATGAGCAAGGAGTGGCAGGAGGCTAGCAACGAATACGCTCTCGTAAGTCCCTCATATGCATTCTGCGCTCCTTTGTACCCCCCTTTTCTTCTTCGAAAGGAGGGATCCCTGATCTATACGAACAATTACTGATCTGGTTTTTCCCACCCAACAGCGCGAGAAGATCAACCCCATCTACGGCATCAGCTCCGAGGGTTATGAGGGCAAGGGCTTCGTCCAGAGCCCTCCCGCTGAGAAGCAATAAATTCCCGGACAAATCCTCGGGATTGAAGGTAGAACGATTGGACGAGTTGCAGGCGGCAGCGTTGGCTTGATTGATGGTTAACCCGACTCCTGCCTGCTCCGATACGCACCCTCTGATCATGGCGGATGGGTGACCATCCATCCAGCTTGGACACCTGCTCTCGCACATGTTTTGTTTGTCAAACGTCAAGCCCAAAAAGACCCCTCTGTACCTCGTACTGTGCCATAATCAATGTATCTCCTTTGTAGCCTTAGATCGGGGTTTTTGGTTTTGCTTTTTAGTTTTGGTTTTTCTGTGTGTAAGGTACAGTACCTGTGCAAGTGCCATCAGGTTGTCCAATTGCCGAAGAAGTTATATCATATAAAATTGGAAGGGCTTTTTTTCCGACATATGTATACTCAATGGCTACAGGTGAACCAAGAAACCCGATATCAGATTTGAGGGAAGACGGCTCCTACCACTAGCTGGGTTGGTAGGTGCTTTGAGCTCCTACCTAGTACCCAGTAATGTAAAATGTGTGCGGCTCTAACTGGAAACGTCATTGTTACAACAAGACCGGTACGGACGAGTACAAAGCTAAGCGATGTTTTATCGGGTTGCATGCAATTGAGTTTTTTTGGATTTCCCAGCCTCATCCGACCATCGGTCTAGGTTGCTAGGGAACTACGAGCTTTGATTGTTCCCCTACGTGTCGTCGTTATCGTATCAATGTTAAGATCGAGCTTGCTTTTCGAGACACCGCTAGACCGAGGAGCTTGGGGCCAAGGAGCGAAGAGACAGAGATGGGTTGAAATTGAAAGGAAGAAAACCGGAATGGGAAATCACGGGAACACGTCAGATTTTTTTTTTTTTCGTTGCGGTTGCGGTTTGTCCGATACCGTCGCTTGTTTTCTGGCTGTATGAATGAATGGATGCAATGCGGTGCGTGCATGTCTTGTTATGTTGTCGGAGCAACCACTTGCTTTTCAAGGTACATACATGTAGGGGAGAGGTTTGGGAAGTTGGATGAGATGAATGAAGGTGGTAGATGACAATAAGAGAATTGAGAATACTTGTTTGTAAAATAGAATCAAGCTCATTGGTATTTAAACATAAAGTAGGAAGTATATATCCATCGTTGAAGGGCAATGAAGGAGGGGGGATGGGGGGGGGGGCTGGCCGGGGTTCCAGTTGGTAAGTTAATAGATAGTATCCGGACTGGTGCCAAGTCCGATCCCCCATTTTGTGTGCGAAACTGCCCCCGATGGATTGGGATTGTTACCCCAACTCAGGGCACGGTTTGGGTTCGATCATGGTTGCCAGGTGCGCAGCTGGACTACTCGGACGGACGGGAAGAGCAATGAGCATGGATGGTTACGGAGTAGTTAGTACGGAGAGTCAAGGTAGTGAAAAGAGGAGAAGGAGGAAATGGATTGGATTAGCCTGAATGGACCAGGTAACTTAAGGTACATGTTCTCATACATGTACCTTTGTATACACAGTATAGTTTACATCGGAGCTACTTGCCCTTTCTACCTGGTCATTACAAGCTGCGGTCTGCACAGCAGCCAGTCAGTCTGCGACTCTGCATGCATGCATGCGTAATTGATGCATCTCCGGTAAGTACCAATACCCGTCCAGTACATACTGTACTGTACAACTGGCCAGAAAACACACACAAAAGCGCGTTGCTCGGTACATCACGGGATCGTCGGCAAAACCGCCCCGGAAAGGCTAAGCCGGACACAATCGGCCAAGCGTGGGTTCCACCTCAACTGAACCTGACCTCCTCTCTGTCTCTCTCTCAACCTCTTCCCTTCCCTTTTCCTCTCTTTCTCCCTCTCTTTTCCCTTTCCCCCCATCCTCCCCTTTGACCTCCCTCTATACCCATTTCGCTCTTCAACACCATCATCATGTTCAAGAGGTATACTACTACTCCAGACCCTGTCCATCCCCCCCAGCTTAGACCTTCCCCCATCCCCCACCATTACTTTTCTTTTTCCTATTGTTGTTCCATCCTTCCCAATGATCAAAGAACCTTGAACTAACCTTGGGCTTGTTCCTTCTTCCACAGCGGTCTTGCCCGGACCTTCGGGAGGGCTGCTTTTGCTCGGCCTACCCCCGTTGCCCGTCGCGCTTTCCAGCCCAAGACCAACGGTCTTCCCTCCCTTGCCCGTCTGGCCAGCACTGAGGCTTCCTCCGTTGGCAAGATTCACCAGGTCATCGGTGCCGTCGTTGACGGTATGTTCCAACTTGCTCCCTGCCTTCCCGCTGCCAAAAAAAAAAAATAAAAAACCCTGCCGGCGGCTACGCGAAAATCTTTTCCGACCGCGATACCATCCCCAATTCCATCAAAAACGACTCAATGGCCATCAAAGAACATAATCTCTGACTCCCGACTACAGTTAAGTTCGACGGCGAGAAGCTCCCCGCCATTCTCAACGCCATTGAGACCGAGAACAACGGCCAGAAGCTCGTGCTTGAGGTTGCTGTATGTCCACCACCACCACTACCACCACTTACCAGTTCGACATATATATCACATCAAAGCTTTTGATAGCTAACCCCAGCATTAGCAACACTTGGGTGAGAATGTCGTTCGTACTATTGCCATGGACGGTAAGCTTCACCTACCTTGCACCACCAGCCACCGTGGAAAGATCTCGATATTCGACCTCCTTCGTCGTTATCCCTTCCAATGCGTGGGCTCGGTGTCAACATCTGTCGTGCTGGTTCCCTAACGCGTCTGTTCCCAGGTACCGAGGGTCTGACCCGTGGTGCTGCCGCCCGTGACACTGGTGCTCCCATCACCATCCCCGTCGGCCCTGGCACTCTCGGCCGTATCGTCAACGTCACTGGTGACCCCATTGACGAGCGTGGTCCCATCAAGGCCGACAAGTTCCGTCCCATCCACACTGAGGCTCCTGCCTTCACTGAGCAGTCCACCACTGCTGAGATTCTCGTCACTGGTATCAAGGTCGTCGATCTCCTTGCCCCCTACGCCCGTGGTGGTAAGATTGGTCTCTTCGGTGGTGCCGGTGTCGGTAAGACCGTCTTCATCCAGGAGTTGATCGTAAGTTCTTGTCTGGCCTCGAATTTCGCCCGAGAACGTGGACTAATCCAGCTTGCAGAACAACATCGCCAAGGCCCACGGTGGTTACTCCGTCTTCACTGGTGTCGGTGAGCGTACTCGTGAGGGTAACGATCTGTACCACGAAATGCAGGAGACTGGTGTCATTCAGCTCGAGGGTGAATCCAAGGTCGCCCTTGTGTTCGGTCAGATGAACGAGCCCCCAGGTGCCCGTGCCCGTGTCGCCCTTACCGGTCTGACCATCGCCGAGTACTTCCGTGACGAGGAGGGTCAGGATGTGCTGCTCTTCATTGACAACATTTTCCGTTTCACTCAGGCCGGTTCTGAGGTGTCTGCCCTTCTGGGTCGTATTCCCTCTGCCGTCGGTTACCAACCTACTCTGGCCGTCGACATGGGTGGTATGCAGGAGCGTATTACCACCACCACCAAGGGTTCCATTACCTCCGTCCAGGCCGTCTACGTGCCCGCTGACGATTTGACTGACCCTGCCCCCGCCACCACCTTCGCTCACTTGGACGCCACCACTGTCTTGTCCCGTGGTATCTCTGAGTTGGGTATCTACCCTGCCGTCGACCCTCTCGACTCCAAGTCCCGTATGCTCGACGCCCGTATTGTCGGTCAGGACCACTACGACACCGCCACCCGTGTCCAGCAGATGCTCCAGGAGTACAAGTCCCTCCAGGATATCATTGCCATTCTGGGTATGGACGAACTGTCTGAGGCTGACAAGCTTACCGTCGAGCGTGCCCGTAAGCTCCAGCGTTTCCTGTCCCAGCCCTTCACCGTCGCCCAGGTCTTCACTGGTATCGAGGGTAAGCTGGTCGACCTCAAGGACACCATCCGCAGTTTCAAGGCTATCATCAGCGGAGAGGGTGATGACCTTCCTGAGGGTAAGTTAAATCTTCGTTTCCTGTGTTGATCATGAGATCCTTGCTGACTGATTTTCCAGCTGCTTTCTACATGGTTGGTGACTTCGAGTCTGCCCGTGCCAAGGGTGAGAAGATCTTGGCCGAGCTCGAGAACAAGGCCTAAATGTAATATTGTTTTTAAGCGCCCTTTTCCTTTTTTGTTAGACATGGACTACCTTTCTTCCATGATCCGATTTCCATCGATGCCTGTACAGTACTCGAATTGAGAAAAGGGAGTTATGAGAGAAAGGATTTTGATCAAGTCCAACGATTCATAAAGGAAGCAGGAGCACTTGGAGGCAATCCCTCATCCCCGAGCCGGGATGGAGACTTCCCGGCTTGTGTTACACTACGTGCTCATGTAAGTAAGTTAAAATGACCACCATCAGCCTCATACCCGCCGGGCTGAGACAATTGTACTCTTTTCTTTTGTTGGGATTATCTGTCAGTTCGTAGTTAGCATGGTAATGACATCTCTGTAACGCTTAATTCTTGCCACGTAGCTTCTTGCTGCAGTCTCTCTCTCCATACTCCGTATTTAATAACAGTGAACAGCCCAGCCGTGAGCTAGTCCATCACTTACCCCATCTTTCTACTCCGTACTACCCGCCACCTTTGACCCGAGTGGGGACAATACATGCCATTGGGAAGGAAGCCTGGGTCATGACTCCATTACTTAGTCTTTCCTCACAAGTCTCCAATATCGCTGGCCGCGGCAGCCCCCCCCTCTTCCTCCCTCTTCGGTACAGTACTTAATCATCTCCAAACGCACAAGGCATACTTCAGTCTATTTATTGCATTGCTTGCTTCTTTGCTATTATATCAACACGAGTAGCTTAACAAAATAAACAATCGAGAAACAAAGAATTTGTCAATCGCTAGGAAAATCGATGGATAGATAGGTAGGTATTAGATCCGGAGGGTGCCAGCTGCCCTGCCGAGGACGTTCCCTCTTGGGACGTGGGACCAGGCTCTTAGAGGGTGTCTTCCAGCGCGAGGACCTGTACAGTCAATGATTCCTTGTTAGCATCCGAGAATACACCAGGAAGTAAAGAAGTAAGAGGTGGCGGGGGATATGGGACAAAAGGGCAAGAAGCAAGAACAAGAGCAAGCTTACCAAGGCGGTCCGCGTGGGGATATAAACCTGCAGGTAGTTGCGACGGCCATTCCACTCGAAGTCGGTGGTGAAGAAGCGCGTCTCCTTGTCGTTGCGGCCGAAGCCGCCGAAGGCCTTGTCGTCGCTGTCCAGCACGATGCGGTAGGTGCCGGCTTGCTCGACGCCGACGCGGTAGTCGGTGAAGCTGTTCGTGGGGTGGAAGTTGAAGATCCAGAGGAGGCCGGCGCGCTCGAAGACGAGGACTTTGTCGCCCTCGTGCTTGAGGCTGACGTACGCCTGCGGTGCGTGCAGCCAGCCGTACTTGTCCTCGGTGAGCTGCATGGCGCGGTCGAACTCGTTCAGGAACTGGTAGCGCAGGAGGTGGTCCTCGGTCAGGTTGAGCTGGCGGCGGGCGTACC